AAAATTGACATTAAAGGGCACAAATTCCATAAAGGGATAATTGAAAATTTTTGTAATGTTGACTTATATGTAATAAAATAATAATAAAATTCTTTATTTAACGAAGGTAACACATTTAACAATTACATGTTAATCTTCCATGAGGCCTTCAAAAACTATTAATACAAATAGAAAAGAAAAAAAAAACAAAATACAAACAAAATAAAATACATAATACTGTTATACATAGCGGCTTAAATATTGAATAAGTACATATGCATTCAATAGAAGAAGAAAAAATACATTAGAATCAAGCATCTTCATTCTGTACAGTTAGAAAATAGTTTGAACATTTCATCTTAAATGTATCTAAATTATTTATTTCTTTAATATTATTTGGTAAATTATTCCAATAAGACCAGAATATTTAAATGTTCTTTTTAAAAATTCAGAATTAGGTCTTGGTACATGAAGAAGTCTTGATGTTGTCGACCTGAGACAATAATTATAAAGATCAGTACAAGCAGTAAATTTAATAGATAGATAATCAGGTGCTAGACCATTCATACATTTAAACATTAACACAGCTTGAAAATATTGTATTCTTGTAAATATAGTCATCCATGCAAGCTTTTAAAACATTAATGTTGATGGAAAATCAAAAGAAACAGATAAAACTAATCTTGCAGCACGTTTTTGGAGCTTACCGGTATGTATCCTCTCCAGATGACAGTTTGTGGTAAGACCCCATACTGTACAACAGTAGTCAATAATGGGTAATATATAGCTATTGTAAAAAAGAATAAGACCCTTTAACGGTAAATAACGTTTCAACCTTTTTAACAGGTATATTCTGGTTGAAATAGTTTCGCATATTTTATCAATTTGATTTGACCATGATAGATTTTTATCAATATGAATTCCAAGAAGTTTTTCAACTTCAACATTATCTAAAGTGATATTATCTTGTGATAAAACACATAAACATTCATTGCAGCTTTCCAGTTTTCTGTCTGATCCAACAAGCATACATTTTGATTTCTTGCTATTTATCATCATATCGTTTTCTTTACACCATTTAATAACATTGTCTAAGTCTTTATTCAAACATATATTTAAATTTACAATAGATTTAGATGACAAATGTAAAGTTGTATCATTAGCATATAGATCAGATTCTGTATATTCTAAGGTTAATGGTAAGTCATTGATATAAATAAGGAACAATAAAGGTCCAAGTATAGATCTTACTTTGCTGAACATTATTGCTGTTTACAATTTGTCTCTATCTATAATAATATTCTAGCTTATAACCAAAAATGGAAAAAAAAAAATTAAAATTACCAATTTAGATTTGTCTGAATTTTAGGGCAGATAAATCTTGACCTGATGAACATTTTTACCCCATTGTCAGATTTGCTCTAAATGTTTTGGTTACAGGGATATATGCCAAAATCTTCATTTTATCCCAATGCTCTATTTTTAGCCATGACAGCCATCTTGGTAGGCCGGGTCATCAGACATATTTTTTAAACAAGATGCCCCAATAATGACCAAATTTGGTCAACTTTTGCTCAGTAGTTACAGAGATGATTTTAGTAAAATTAAAGGAAGGACGCCAAGTGATGAGAAAAGCTAACCTCGCCCAGCTAAAAAGATGATGTGAATTTTTTTAACATGCAAGTTCACAAGAAAGTCCTAATGGAAATGTGTCATCCTATCCCAGACTCAATATTTCGACTCCAAACACCAGCATGCTTAGCGTAAGAACCAGTATATACCAATTTTAGAGTCTAGTTCCACTTTGTTGTGCTTCAAACACTGACAAGAGTACCGAGGCTGTTTTTAAAAAGTTTAAAAGAGGCTTGGATATAAAATGATGTATGCCATTATAGAATGGCTTAGTGACCCATTTTGTATGTTGCTTGTGAAGTACACACTACACACAATTTCAGCATTCTAAGACTGATAAAACGTATATGATGATAATGAACTACAAACAGGACAGCAAAGATACAGAAGAAACATTAGACCAAGAAATTTATATAAGACTGGAAAGCAAATTTTCTCAGAATAAATGAAACATTAATATAGGGTAAGTGTGCTGATCACTGCATCTATAACTCTAAGATAATGCTGTTAAAATTGATGAAAAGCTGCAACCCTATCAAGTCACTGAGAAGTGCTACAATGTTTATATATAAGCAGCACATAATCAGTAACAAAAAAGGCTGTTAACTTGTTAATTTTTGACAGCAGTACTTTTAGAAGTTAAAATGTTTACTCCAGATTTTTGAAGAAAATAAGAACTACACAAGAGAAAAAAGAAAACTGCACTTCCATTAGACCAGTACATCAAGCCCTTATAAAGAAATTAACATTCTCTCCCTAACTACTTTACATACAGCTCTCAATATTACCCTCATCTACTCAATTTTTCCTTTTTCTCCCTATAGAACATATATCCATACATACCACTCTCATTATTTACCCTCATCCTCCCTCCATTTCTGTCTTATCCAATATCAACCTTAACCACCTATATTAGCCTACTCTGTGTGTTAAATATCCCCATGAAAGTGTTAGTTGATGAAAAGATTTTAATCATGAAGTTCCAGGCATGGAAGAATGAAAAATTTCAATACTGAAAAGACAATCTAAACTTTTCATGTTTTTTTTTTAATATTGAGCAAATTTGGAGTTGTAGTTTTTATTTCAATATTAAATGGTTATTATTTTTAAAATTAGGGTAACAGCCAAAGTTACAATAAGCCAAAATGTGTGATGTAAATTTTATTTGAAGAAATTATCCTTGAATAACCATTTTGCAGCCAAAATATATATTTAATTGAAAGGTGTAAAAAATATTTAAAAAAAATGAAAAAAAATAGTCTAAAGTAAAAATTGCCAAAAGTTTTTAAAATGCCAAATGGTACAAAAGTACCTGTCTGCTAATGTACTAGCCAGCTGGCCTGAGGGTTATCTGGACTTTAAGGTGCTAGTTCACCGAAACAAATGGCCGCAGTGACCACCAGTCTCTTCCTTTCGGAGTACCAATTTTAGAGTCTCTGATTTGACTAAAGCATGACTTATACAGCCAATATGAAAAAACCTGAACCATTTAACAAATAAAAAAAACCATCCCCAATTAAAATTTAGATAAAAAGTTAAAAACACCCCCAATTAAAATATGGATAAAAATTTAAAACATCCCCAATCAAAATTTGAATAAAAAATAAAAACATCCCCAATTAAAATTTGGATAAAAAGTTAAAAACATCCCCAATTAAAATTTGAATAAAAGATAAAAACATCCCCAAATTAAAATTTGAATAAAAAATAAAAACATCCCCAATAAAAATTTGATTAAAAGATAAAAACATCCCCAATTAAAATATGGATAAAAAGATAAAAACATCCCCAATAAAAATTTGAATAAAAGATAAAAACATCCCCAATTAAAATATGGATAAAAAGATAAAAACATCCCCAATAAAAATTTGAATAAAAGATAAAAACATCCCCAATTAAAATTTGAATAAAAGATAAAAACATCCCCAATTAAAATTTGGATAAAAGATAAAAACATCCCCAATAAAAATTTGAATAAAAGATAAAAACATCCCCAATAAAAATTTGATTAAAAGATAAAAACATTCCCAATTAAAATATGGATAAAAAGATAAAAACGGTCGGTCTGACCAAGTCACCCTTGGTCACGGTCCAACTGAGTGATCGATCTCACTCAGTTCATGCATGGTACTATGGAAAAGGTTTAGACCACGACTGGGTCGCAGTCTGACCAAGTCACCCTTGGTCTGACGGTCAGGGTCCAACTGAGTGATCTATCTCCCTCAGTTCATACCAGTACTAGCAGATACTTGATATGTATGGCGGGGACGTTACTATACCTAAATGGGAGGTATAGTATCTGTGAACCCTAAACACAGATGGCGACTTAACTTCCCATACATGTAATCAAATATCCAATGCTATTACTGTTATTGTTATATTATGTTTATAAAATAACTAATGAAAAACCTACCACAATAATTAGATAAAAACATTGCATCCAAGTTTCCTGTGGCAAGAAGTGAAATATTTTTTTTATACAAGTTCAAATGTACTAAGTAGTCCAGTTTTAGTTGGTTTCCTTAAGGTTTTCAAAAGGCTCCAAGAAGATGTCACCTTTTGGGTAAATACAATGTGACAGTAACTCAACAATAGAGTAAAACCAAAAAAAAGCTATGAAAATGTCAAAGTACAGTCTTTCCCAATAAACGATAATAACTAATGGTATCTTATTCTTTTTGCCTTGCAAGTCTTTGCATGAAAAATGTCACATCTATGTCATACAAATGCTAGTCAGATTACCTCCACATAGCTTTGAAATAACTATCAAATGTTGATTATTGTCTAATGACAATGTACCTTCATTTTAAAGGTATACTGTGCATAAAACATAACAGGTCCTGATATTCTTGATCCGAGGTTACACAAGGGTCAGATGACAGACAGTGTTTATTACTATATACTAGTAGTACAAATTAGAAGGTACTTATTTCATGATGTAGGTGTTAAAAACTATAGGTCACTGTAAGCAAGTTATAAGAGGCGCCAATATAACAAAACATGATACAATTTCAAATGCAGAAACCATTATGGCCTGATCTATGTAAAAAAAACAAGCGAAAAAAAACAATTCGAAATGATTACCATTGAATTAAAAGTGAACCTCAAAATCGACAGGAATCGCCATACCCCAAAACATAATTCAGAAGATGGAGAGTTGTCTCATTGGTACTCATACCACATCTTCTTATATCTATAGAATCACTATACCCTAAAATATTATTCTGAAGGGATAAATATAACCTGAAATATTATTACAAGCAAATACCAGCTTTTAGTCTTGTGTAGTCTGACCCAGCCAGGGATTTAAACTCAAAAACTCTTCCTCACAAAATAACTGAAACAAGATTATTTCTAAAAAGCGGAACAAAATTGAAACATAAAAAAAATCAAATAAATGTTATTTATTAAAATGAGAAATGATTTATGTAGCAATCACCTTATATAATACTGCTACTTAAAACATAAGAATATGGCAATATTGAAAAAAAATACACCCTGCTTTAAAAAAAACTCATACATTGTAGGGAAGAATCATAGGCGTTTAATTGTTACAGAAATTTCAACTTTACAATCGTTATGAACTAGCAAACAGGGAAATTAGGTCATTTTATTCCACTTGATAATAGTAAATAGGAAAACAAATAATAATATATTACATTTTTTGTGACTACTAAACATACAAGTAAAACAATACTAGCATTCTATAAAATATACCATTCCTTCTAATGCATTATGAAATACTATTTGACATTTCTTTTTAACTATTGCAAAAGAAATCACTTACTAAAATCAAGAGGAGCAATGTTCAATTTCATGGACAGGGTTTTAAATATTATTTTAAAGCTAAGAAAAAATTTACGAAGTCACAGGATTAACCATTAAATTTAAAAACAAGTTAAATCTTCTTTTCTACAAAAAACAAGAGTTGTCTCCTATTTGCATTAGCCTTATCATGAAATACTGTTACCAAAAGTACCTACAAATATGGGAGATAACTCATTAAACTTAAAATGAAGTCATAATTGGGAGGAAGGGGCGTTTAATATCAGATAATATTGAGAATGGAAGCACTTTTGTAGATGATGACGACGTAAATATAATTTGAAATCCCAATGTCAGACCAATCCACTTAATGCATTATCTAGACCTGTTTAAAAGCCGATTTTATTTACAGAGCTCTAAATATTACTGTCATCTTACTTTATTTACATCTTATATAGCATATCTAACAAAAAATATATAACAATTATATATAAAACTAATACATTCTAATTTATTGCAGGCCTTCCATGCAGTGAACAAAACTAGCTCATATGAAGAGATAAACAAGTGTATTCCCTCCCCTTAACCCTAAAACTCAGCCTGCTAGTTTCCATTCCTCACAACTTATGCTCAGTTTGTTAAATTTAAAAACAAATTAAATCTTTATTTGCATTAGCCTTATCAGGAAATATCATAAACTGTTATCACAGAGATATGTCTCGCCTTTTTGTAATTTTGATTATGCAAATGTTGAAATCAAAATAGCAATACTTTAACATCTTACACAAGTTATGCAAATATTCAAAGTCAATGAACCATGACTGAGTTACATGGCTAAACAATCTCCATGTAAATGAGATGTGCCAATGCTAATACAACTGCATACCAAATACCATTGACTTATTATAAGTCGTTCCCAAACCTAAATACAAATTATTAACTTGTAAACTATGTAAAAGTTTCAAAGTCAATGAACCATGAAGAGGGGTTGGGGCTATATAATCTCCATGGAAACAATACTTGCAAATGCCAATAAATTTGCATACCAAATATCATTGACTTAATAACATTAGCAGTTCATCTTAAACTGATCTAATCACAAACTAATACATATAAACTAAGATAAGTTTCAAAGTCATTAGACTGTGACTGAGGGATGAGGCCAAAAAAATTCTCCATGGAAATGAGATGTGCCAATGCTTATACAACTGATTACCAATTAACATTGGCCTACCACTAATCGTTCCCCTTGAACTGACCTAATCACAAACTAATACATGATAACTAAGAAAAATTTTCAAAGTCAATAGACCATGACTAAGGGGGCGGAGCCAAATTATCTCCATGGAAATGAGATATGGCAATGCTTAAACAACTGCATACCAAATATCACTGACCTACCACTTGTTGTTCCCCATAAACTGACCTAATCACAAACTAATACATGTAAAATAAGCAAAAGTTTCGAAGTCAATAGACCATGACTGAGGGGGCAGGGCCAAATAATCTCGATGGAAATTAGATGTGCCAATGCTTATACAACTGCATACCAAATATGATTGACATACCACTTGTGGTTCACCATAAACTAGACCTAATCACAAACTAATACATTGTTGACACCATTGCCGCCGCCGGAAACAGCATACCTATGTCTTGCTTTTTGACTCTGTCAAGGCGAGACAAAAAGTACCTACAAATATGGGAGATAACTCATTAAACTCTAGGAGTAGTTATCTGGAATAGCTGTGAATTGAATGGAGAGTTGTCTCATTGTCACCAATTTCACATCTTCTTATATCTATATACCTACAATAGGATGGTAGAGCGTAAGGGCAGGAGTAAAACAATATGCCCCCCCCCCCCCAACTGAAAGGGCATAAAAATAGATTTAAACCAATGGCAGCTGATTGTTCTCACAAGTCACATCAAAGTCTTACATTAAACACCTAGTACATGTATTAACTAAGACCATTTAGGGGGGAACTGTAGGCCTATGAAATTCAAATGTAATCAACATATCTGGTTTAAAAGAATAAATCTTTACAACTTGCTCTCCCCCCTCTTTCTATCTCTGTCTTTAAACATAATTGTATTACTACATATTTTTTTTGTCAATAAGTGTTTCCAAGTTCCTCAGATCAACAGAATCCGTTCTTCTGCTTCAGTTGATTTCTAAATTAACAAGCACGCTTTGTCTACAAATAGAAAATAAAATTTCATTCAAAACAAACTAAAATTCACAAAATAATATATATAATGTTGATGTCAGAAGATATTTACATTTTATCCATATATGGGGTAACCAGGAGACAGAGGCTAAAGAAATTCTTTATATAAAGCAGTTCAGAATTGTATTAAATCTTATGGCATCTTAAGTATGAAATGCCACCATTGTACTTACATTTTACTTCAGATTTGTTTAAAATAAACATGTCAATTTTTTCAGGCACCATGGATTAAAAATGTTCATTTAACCAAAGATTTGATGGATAAGGACAATATGCCTTCAAACTAGTTTAACCCTGCCACACTCTGTATGTGCCTGCAATTCAGTGGTTAATGTTTGTTGCTGTGGTTAATGTTTGTTGCTGTGTTACATATTTGTTTTGTTCATTATTTTGGACATGAATTAGGCAGTTTGTTTTCTCGACTGAATTTTTTTACAATTTTCATTTTTTGGCCCATTTATAGCTGACTATGTGGTATGGGTTTTACTCATTTTTGAAGGCAGAATTGTGACCTATAGCTGTTAATTAATATGTCATTTGGTTTCTTGTGGAAAGTTTTCAAAATTGCAATCATACCACATCTTCATATTTTTATATCTGTAATTAGGTATTGTATTATTATAGAAGCAATAAACTAGAACCGTTCATTATCTTTAATGTTACCTTAAAACAAGGATTTAATGTAACCGTCAACATACATACCTTAAAGTTGGTATTATTTTACATCCAGGTCCTACTTTCCTTTGATTTTCCTTCAGTAAATCATTTACGTGTTTTCAAAATATCCAGGATAACTGAAAAAAAATTGAATCCATCAACTGTGATAGTTTTAAACACTTATTGAAGGCCTGTAATTATTGTTGACCAATAGTTGTTAACTTATATATCTTTTAGTCTCTGGTGGAGTCAGTTGTCTCATTGGCAATTATACCACATCTTATTTCGATATCTATACATGTATATGGAATTTAGTCAATTAATCAACATCTAATCATAGCAGTTAATACAGATAAATTAGATACAATATTGCTAAAGTGACATATAGGTCCAATGGGCCAGGTGTAAATATCAAATTGCTATGTATATACATGTAATTGTTTAGATGTATGTTATGATACACATGTCACTATAATAAATAATAACTTATAACTTACTAATACATAACATTTTATCTAATAAATATACATGTATATTAACATGGCATAATAATACTTCATAATTTACTAGGCTAATTCTCGTGAATTTTTATAGTTATTTATTTTTAGTTTATGCATGATTTTTTTTTCAACCTATGAATTCTTATTTGTAATACATATTTTCGTCATAACTGTTAATTGTGAACTGTGGAGCAGGAACTGTGTACCCTTCCTATTCTTTCAGGAGCACCATTGTTAAAATTCTCCATTTTGTTGGGTTGATATTAGGGGTCATCCATAATTGTCAACCATTTTCCAAAGTGTACAAAACATACACTTTTTCAGACCCCCTACCCTCCCTTAATAAACAGCTGCGCCATAAGCGCATGATACGCCCGTCGTCTTGTGTGTGAATTTTTATGCAATAAGCGAAAACCCCCCCTTTTTTTTTTACAAAAAACTCAATATCTCTAAAATAAAATTTTGAATCAAAACCAAAAAGTATACAGATCTTTAGATTAATATAACTAAGAAGTGTGTAAAATTTTAAGCAATAATCATAAATCATTTTTGAGATACGGCGCGACATGTGAAAACACCCCTTTTAAAAAAAAAAAATCAATATCTGAAAAAAAAATTTTGAATCAAAACCAAAATGTATACAGATCATTAGATTAATATAACTAAGAAGTGTGTAAAATTTTAAGCAATAATCATAAATCATTTTTGAGATATGGCGTGACATGTGAAAAACCCCTCCCCCTTTTTTTACAAAATACTCAATAACTCAAAAATAAAATTTTGAATCATCACCAAAAAGTATACAGATCTTAAGGTTAATATAACTAAGAAGTGTGTAAAGTTTTAAGCAATAATCATAAACTGTTTTTGAGATACGGCGCGACATGTGAAAAACCCCTCCCCTTTTTTAACAAAATACTCAATAACTCAAAAATAAAATTTTGAATCATCACCCAAAAATATACAGATCTTAAGATTAATATAACTAAGAAGTGTATAAAGTTTTAAGCAATAATCATAAATAGTTTTTGAGATACGGCGCGACATGTGAAAAAAAACACACACCTGTTTTAGTTACTAAGTCCCGTAACTCAAAAAGTTTTAATCTTATTTTCACCAAAAAGTATACAGATCGTTTGACCATCATAAGAAACAACTATGTTAAGTTTCATGAAATTTGGATAAGTCATTCTCAAGTTACGGTGCGACATGTTTACGCCGGACAGACAGACGGACAGACAGACGGACGGACGCCGGACATTTGTACAACATAAAACGTCCCGTCAAAAATTTGACGGGCGTATAAAAAGTGTACATCAACTATTTTCAGATTTCAAGACAAGATTCAATCATTCTTAAAAAAAATTAAGATCCTGTCTATTATAGTTTAGTTTAATATAGAAATTTGCATTGAAAATAACTGAAACATATCTGACTGTTTTATTTGATAAATAAAAAAAAGCGTACTTTAAAAATGTTGATTTTTTAACCCCCTCCCCCCAAGTGTACGTTTTGTACACTTTGGAAAATGGTTGACAATTATGGATGACCCCTTACTCAATCTGGTTTTCTGGTTAGTGTCAGATTGCTCCCTTAGAAATTTATCCCTTTTCTACACTAAAACAGAATATCAATGAATATTTTTGGTGCTCCATGTTAATTATCTTGTGGACTTATGTAATACTATACCCAGACATGAATTTATACATCAAAATCATAACTACTCAAATGAAATGACATCTACTATATGTACCTTATGCATATTTACCTTGTCTTTTGAATGTGAAAGCTTCATGCAGACCCGGTTGTGATGTTCTGGGAGATTAATCAGTATATAATCATTCTTCCTTTTTACAAGGATAGGTTGTTGGCATATCTCTCAATCCCAAACCTGGAGAACCAGAGAATCTTTACTCATGCTTTATTTCCTTTAGATCAATTGCAGACCAAGGCTGACGAGTCAAATCTACCAAAAATTTCATATCAGAGTTTCTTCTCCTAGACATCCTTTCAAGGCTGATGGCCATCATTCAGCCGGCTATTTAACCCATAACTGGGGCAAGGTTGATGAGTGCTAGGGATGTCCGCACGTAGATCGGCCTACACACTTCATCTCTAGGGTCCTTGCTACTCCGAGATCCTCTACAGTTAAGCCTAGGACACTAGATCCTAGTTACCATGTGCTGTCACGGGGAGGCACTGTAGAAGTCTTGTTAGTGTAGAGGCTATGTACTGGAAGGAAAGACTTACGCACTCAGCTTTCTTTTCACCTATGAATATAAGCTATCCAGCGGCAGTGTAAGAGTCTATGACTCCCAACCACACTAGACGCATACACAAACCTGTGGTAACACCACCAGCACACAAAAAAAAAGGGGGTCATTATTTCAAATTTAGAAAAAAGAAGGTTATTTATTTAAATTTAGAAAAAGAAATGGTTATTTATTCAAATTTAAAAAAAGAAATGGTTATTTATTCAAATTTAAAAAAAGAAATGGTTATTTATTCAAATTTAAAAAAAGAAATGGTTATTTATTCAAATTTAATAAAAACGTAGGTTTATTTATTTATAATTTTAAAAAAGGAAGGATTATTTATTTAAATTTTGAAAAAGGAAGGTTTATTTATTTAAATTTAGAAAAAGGAATGGTTATTTATCTTAAAACTATAAAAGGAATTATTTATTTAAAATCCAGAAAAGAAAGTGTTATTTATATTTAAATTCAGGAAAGAGTGTGTTATTTATTTAAATTCAGAAAAGAAAGTGTTATTTATTTAAAATCCAAAAAGAAAGTGTTATTTATATTTAAATTCAGAAAAGAAAGTGTTATTTATTTTAATCCAGAAAAGAAAGTGTTATTTATATTTAAATTCAGAAAAGAAAGTGTTATTTATTTAAATTCAGAAAAGAAAGTGTTATTTATTTAAAATCCAGAAAAGAAAGTGTTATTTATTTAAATTCAGAAAAGAAAGTGTTATTTATTTAAAATCCAGAAAAGAAAGTGTTATTTATTTAAGTTAAGAAAAGGGAAGTGTTCATTATTTTGAAATTTATAATGCATTTCATCCAAAAGTACAGGGTTATTTGTACTTCACAAACTTAAAGCAACTAAACAGTATCAGAACAGTGTGAAATTACAACACCAACACATTACTTACTTCCCCTCCTTACCCAGCAACTTCTTCATCTCTATTACACTAGGCCATGGGGTAGCCCTCCCCGACCTCCAAGCCCTTAAATACACTGGACTCTCATGGGTTAACCCTCCCCGACCCAAAGCCCTTAATTAAAAACAAGTCCCTGGATTCCCATGGGGTAACCCTCCCTGACCCCAAAACCCTTAAATACAAGTCCCTGGACTCCCATGGGGTAACCCTCCCCGACCCTTAAAAAAAAGTCCCTGGACTCCCATGGGGTAACCCTCCCCGACCCCCAATCCCTTAAAACAAGTCCCTGGACTCCCATGGGGTAACCCTTCCCGACCCCCATCCCTTAAAAACTAGTCCCTGGACTCCCATAGGGTAACCCTCCCTGACCCCCAATCCCTTAAAAACAAGTCCCTGGACTCCCATGGGGTAACCCTCCCCGACCCCCATCCCTTAAAAACAAGATCCTGGACTCCCATGGGGTAATCCTCACTGACCCCCAATCCCATAAAAACAAGTCCCTGGACCCCCATGGGATAACCCTCCCCAACCCCCATGCCCTTAAAAATAAGTCCCTGGACTTGTTTTGGGTTAACTATCCCCTACCCCCTTGCCCTTAAAAACAAGTGCCTGGAGTCTCACTCTCCCTTTCATCAGACCCCTAGGCTTCTCCTCAAAGACCTCTGAACTCTTAAATTCCAGTTCCTGGACGTTGCCTCATTCCACCCAACCTGCTCCAAAGCTCAGTCCCAGGTCAATCATATATAAAGCTGTTGCTATGTGGGGCGAGGGGATAATTAAAGAAAACGAAGAAGAAAATATCAGCAAGCCAGTATAAACTTTACCTTTTATTCTATCCATACAGTGTTAATGGTTGTGGGTGTCATGCTAAGTGAACGTGCTTAGGTATTGTGATTGGGTATCGTGATTGGGTATTGTGATTGGGTATCGTGATTGGGTATCGTGATTAGGTATCGTGATGGGGTATAGTGATTGGGTATGGTGATTGGGTTTCATGTCTAGTTTATAGGTAATCTTCTACTGACTTGCTAGTGTTCAATTTTTAAACATTTTAAAAAAAAGTAAGTAATGTATTCATGTTGCAATCATACCCTTTAATAATGCAGTATTGTTAAATTCAAGTTGTTGGAAGTCCAAATCTCAGTGAAACACTTAAAATTAAAATTTTCAAACTAATTTAGTTATTGTGAGCTAAATTTTGATATCTAAATTTAGGAAATGGAATGGTTATATTTATTCAAATTTGGAAAAAATGAACAGTTATTTATTTTAATTCAGAAAAAGATAATTACTTAGTTACGTCTTTAAAAAAGCATTTTTACTCTTTATCAACAATTACATGGATATATTTTAATGCTTCTTTAATAAATTTTAGTGATTTGTTTGAAATTTAATAAAAAAAAAATTAAAAATTGCCTAATTTTGTTTGAAATCTAACAAATTTTGTTTTTATCGTTAAAATTAAATAAATTTTGGTGATTTTGTTTAAAATTTAACAAATTTTGATGTTTTTATTCAAAATATTTAAAAGGAAAGTTCCCGTGAAAATAATGTATCCATTACTTCCATCACGACATAATTCAATTCCGCCTTCCCATGAAAATAATGTATCCATTACTTCATCACGATATATTTCAATTCCGCCTTCCCATGAAAATAATGTATCCATTACTTCATCACGATAAAATTAAATAAATTTTGGTGATTTTGTTTAAAATTTTACAAATTTTGATGTTTTTATTCAAAATATTTAAAAGGAAAGTTCCCGTGAAAATAATGTATCCATTACTTCCATCACGACATAATTCAATTCCGCCTTCTCATGAAAATAATGTATCCATTACTTCATCACGATTTCATCTGTGTTTCTCAACCACTATCCAGTCTATCAGAAACATTCTGAAATTAAACTGAAGGATTAAAATACCTGAAAAAAAACTATTAATTATTATACATATTTATTACAGTGTATTTTTTTTTTTTTTTTTATATATTTTTTTTTTTTTTATATTTTTTTTTTTTTTTTTTTTATATAAAAGTAGAATGTTTGTCACCACCAAATTATCCGAGACCATCTTTCCAACACATTACTTCAAATTAAAATTAAATGTATTGCAGGTTACTTTTGATATTAATTAACAAACATGAAATATTAAAAACGAAGTTTATGTTATTTTTTATCACAAATCTGCAATGTTTTGTGTTTGAATCAGTCCCAATTAAATCTCAATGAAATGTTACTTTCAGCTTTCAGGGAAAAAACTACTGACCAAAATATTAAAAAAGTATAGACTTTTGCATAAAATACCAAGTAATGTGAGGAAACCAATCGTATGCAGGAAAAGCTCAGTTGTAGTGACTTTTATTCTCAGTATTACTAGTGACAGATAAGTACTGAAACTTGTACTAACAAGAGATCTAAACACCTCTACAACTATAACCTTCACTGGACAATTGTAAGTTCTCAAATAAAACAAGTATGGACGTCATGCAGTCAGATAAAGCAGAGGTATCTACTGCGCCAACTGTAGGGAAAAATGATTTTTTACCAGTGTACATGTCATTATGTTTTACTTTACTGTACTGTCAACTCCAAGAACTTTTTTTGTTGGTGACTGTCATATTTTATTGCTTGTGTGATTTTTTTGTGTGTGAATTTTTTGTGTGTGAATTTTTTGAGCGTGAATTCGTTATGTGTGAATTCGTTGTGTGTGAATTTTTAGTGTGTGAATTTTTTGTGTGTGAATTTTTAGTGTGTGATTTTTTAAGTCAGTTGTGTTGTATGTTTACACAATTTTGGCTCCTCCGTCGTAATTATTGTAATGTTAACCAATTATGTCAATAAAAAGAAACAAGTAAGGCAAATACCACTGGTTTTCAATTTGTTCAGGTTGTCATAATGGAGTGGACCATTTGACTTAACCAGGTTTTAAAGATTCCCCCTTTTTGAATTTACCATGAAGTCTATGTAAATAGATATGGCACTATGGGATGATTTTTAAGGTCATATTCAAAGAGGAGACCCTCAAGGTTGATCAAGGATGTCAAGGTCAGAGTCATGCCCTTCAGAACGATGTTCATAATACAGCATCTATACTAAAATAAAAACCTAAAAATAACTGGTCTGAAGAAAAAGTTATGAAAATTATAAAAAAAAAATTATGAAAGCTAAAGACAAAACAAAAATTGAATAAATTCATTAATATTGACTTTAAAATCTACTGGAACAGTTATACATTTAATCTGACTCTAAATTTGACATTAACCAATTTTTCTTTAAATAGTAAATTTTTCCTAGCTCAGAAATACCAAACTGTTCTGAAAATTACTAGAATTATAAACATTCCTAAATAACTTCCCTCCACAGAACAGTACACAATACCCTTAAGATATCTGTCTCTCTGCTCTCTATTATTATCTCATTCATTCATTCATTTTCATTCATTCATTCACACATCTTCCAGACAACCTATTTAGGAAGTATCATGTTAGTTATCCCACCCAGGTTAGTTCTTGATACTTTGTGAATAAAATGGTTTTACATTGATGTACTAGACATGGAGGGATGATTAAACAAGAAGTTTCATTTACCAGGTTTCCAGGTGTAAGGTGCATTAAGAGCTAATTAAGAAAGGTGTTATTTTATTTTACATTTTACAAAATAGTTTAGAAAAAATCCAAATAAAAATAAGTCATGTTTATCAAAAAGAAAAAGATATTGTAAGATGGCAACGATAACTGGGAGAACATAAACATCTGACCTTTCTAAACCTTATCTCTACGACCTTGGGAATTTGAGACTTTTCTGATCTCAATGATTTACTGATTCATTTCAGTTGTACATTGTCACTACATCTTCTATATATTTTTTTTCCCCACAAAACAGATCTCGTCTTGCTGATAATTTGTAAATTCTTTTAAAATTTTTCTCTCTCTATAATATAGTTTTTATTCTATCTCTCTATAATATAGTTTTTATTCTATCTCTCTATAATATAGTTTTTATTCTCTCTCTATAATATAGTTTTTATTCTATCTCTCTATAATATAGTTTTTATTCTATCTCTCTATAATATAGTTTTTATTCTATCTCTCTATAGTATATAGTTTTTATTCTCTCTCTATAATATAGTTTTTATTCTATCTCTCTATAATATAGTTTTTATTCTATCTCTCTATAGTATAGTTTTTATTCTATCTCTCTATAGTATAGTTTTTATTTTATCTCTCTATAATATAGTTTTTATTCTATCTCTCTATAATATAGTTTTTATTCTATCTCTCTATAA